ATAAGTTTAAATTTACATTATATGATATGTGTTACGTGTACGATACGTGCTACTTTAAAGGAAAGGGGTAAACGAAGATACAAACTAAGCGGAGAAAAGCGGAGTAGCGCAGTGAATCTATTTGAGTTGTGAAGAATGAATAAGCTAAAAGAAACCCGCATTACAGCGTCAAGATCAGTTGTTTAAAATCGTGGGCAAGTGATTGTTTACGTGTCATGGCTATTGAGTGTATTCTGTGTAGTGCATTTTCATGAAAATGCATTGACTGAACAATCATCTCCATCGCCGTCAACGTCCAAAATTGTAGAACTTCCGCGAGAAAAGCCGACAGAATGGCGTGGTGAAACAACCGTTGTTTTAAACTTATATTAAAAGTATTTAATTTATTAGGCAAGAAGAATACAGAACCAGCAATTGATAGAGGATGGATTCAGAATGAACGACCTATGTCATATGCGAGATGGCCTGCTCGCGTTTTTGTGGTGTCTAAAAAGTTTTGTGTCATCTTACCGACAGTAATAACTAAAATAATAATAACAACTTTAGAAATAATGTGCTGACTAAATACATTATTATCTTTACGAGTGCTACGATGTCTATCTCGAATTATCAAGCTGTCGTCCGTTTCTCTTGAGCATTTTGCACATTGCGATTGTAGCGTATTATGCAAAGTGTGGATGAATTCGAGATCGCCAGCAGCCATCGCCGACAGCTGGTAAGATGACAGCTCACATCAGTGTCCCGGACCACGCGCTCAGCGGAGGGATACAATCTGATTTGTTTACATCTACTTCATTCTGTCGTTGAACAAGTATTGTTAACAATACTTCACAGTTTTAATATTCATTCTGTTCTAGATGTTTGTATTTCCTCATCTGCCGCGCCGTAGATCCAGTGATCTCCATTTGAAACATTCATTTGATAACTACTTTCGCAAAACTAATTATTAAGGAACGGATTGTCATGTACGAGTAAATATATACGTTTCCAGGAACAAGATACTGGATTTAATTATTCTTAAAGTTTTCAAGACATTCTGAATGATTTTGAACCATTTTTGATTGGCATACTATTTTGGTATAAATGCATATTTTTACATATTTTACCTATTACTACACATTTCTTACATATTCATTACATTTTAATGTCTATACGAATTCGTCAATACGAAACATTTCTGAGACGAGTTTGCCAAATATGTTACTAGAATCATTTTTCTTATAAAGCATTGAAAACTTCTGCTCTTCTCTGACCACCGGGCCTTCGCTGTGAATTGTCAAAATTACCCCTACCTCACCTCCCCCATTGCTTCTCGGGAACCGTCTTCTCGGAATAAATGAAGATGGGCTGTTTGCCAAGTAGAAGTAATCTCAACAACATGCTTGTTGTAAAAATTGAGGTAAAACATGTTAAGATCTTTAAAAACCGCACCCAAGTTATTTTCGATACCCGCGTCATATTTTCATATCTCCCCTGTCCTACCAGGAATATGAAGACAAGCCGTTGCTGTTTTTTGCTAGTATAACATGTTTTAATAAGTTAATTAATAATCTGCAAACATATATAAAGTTGCTCTTCCATAATGCAACACTTAAACAGGCAAATATTTAATGGCGGGCATCCTCTTCCTTGGAGACTTGCTAGCGCAAGCTGGTTTGTGACACACTGAGTATGGAAATAGTTCTCGCATTTTGAGAAAAAGCGAAATATCCCAATCAAATACTTTAAATAAGAATCATACTTCACATGATTTCAGTAGAATGTATCCCGAGTCTATACTTCGATTTTTCTAGAGTGGCCGACGGCATTAGGTCATTGTAACACCTCCTTATAAAATGAATCCTTTTAACAGTGGTAAGCGCATTTCTGAGGCCACAAGCTCCGTTGAGGACGGTCGCGAAATGTATATGTTTAACTAAAACATATTCATTTTATAAGGCAGAAGGTGTAACAATGACCACTATAGAAACTAGTGAATCTAAAATAGCACGTACGTTCTCACCCGTATTTTCACGCAAAATTTCACGAAAAGTACTGAAATTTTCGAAAAATTGTACATGACCTTATTTCAATATCTTGTTTTAAGGAACAGATTTCATTAAAAGAAAATATATCTATCATTAATATTTTAATAGTAGGACGACTACGAAAACTTTTAAAGTTTTGCAATTTTCGAAAAATTATGGTTTCTGAGGAACATGAGATCTGCACCATTCTCTTAAACGTCCTTCACACACACACACACACACACACACACACACACACACACACACACACACACACACAATCAAAAACGTTGAATACATTTTTTTTAATTTGGAAAATGTCCCACAGTTTTCATGTAAAGTACGCCCCAAAATTAAAATAAATCAAGAGGCAGGACATTAGCCGGATCGATTGAGGAATATCAATTTTGGAGAAAATCGGCTGAACGGTTTACCCGCTAGCGTTGTTCACAGACGGGCAGACGTTTTGCTGTCAATCGATTTTTCGGTATAAAGGACCCACAAAACATAGATTCTAGCAACATCACGTGTTAAAGGATTTTTTTCTAAATTTAGAATTGGATTATATCCACTTTTTCGTTATTCTACGAGGGCCCTGTCATAAGAGTTTTCGGCCGAAAATTCGCCGTTTTTCCGCATGACATAACTTTCTCTCTATTCCCTAGCGAGAAGGTAAAATCGAAGTACAGGCCGAGATATTTGCATTCTTCAGTCAAAATCCCAATTGTTTCAATGTTTTTTTAAATTTATTATATTACATTTTTTAATATATATTATATATATTGAGTCCGCACCCGCACCCTCCTCCTAAGTGAATGTCTAGATCCGCCTCAGTTCTAAATGCTCGTATTTTTTTCTCTTCGTTATGAAAACAAGAAATACTTACATAAGTACATTTATAGATATTTTCGTACTTTCACCGCGACGAAAAGGTTCGGACCTGGAGGCCGAAAGCGATTTTGTAACTAAAACGGGTAGCGAGAGACCGAGAGGAAGATAAAAGCAACGGATGTCGCAAGGAAATGACGCATTGTGGAATGTCCACTTCCCCTCTCTGCCAGCAAACATCTGGGCTGCAAACTCTCTTCCGTCTTCGAATGACGATCGTAGGTGGCTGTAAAGAATGTGGGTAGGAGGGGGCCAAGTTTTTTTGTTAGGAGGCAAGAAGTTTTATCAGTATTTGCATTATTAAATAAAAATTCCTAATCTTTTCTATTAAATAAAAAAATATCTAATGTCTTTAATTCAAATCGAATATATTTTTGTTAAAATTTAATTTCAGAGTTATATTTTGTATCATTATTTATATTTTTGTATTTCTTACCCAATTTCTACACGGGAGAACAATGGACCATCTGTCATGTACACAGATCTTGTTCTCTTCATCTTCTTGTTCCTTTCTTCTTCCTCTTCACTCCATAGAATGTACGTACGTGGTCGTGATGGTTGCCATCATCCGCTTTACTAATATGCACAGAAATTACGCAAATACCAAAATTCCGAGACCCTCTCAGTTATGACGCATAGAGCCCTTTCAGTCGTCTGTACTTATTGAGAAGCAATAGAAGTTAACCAGGAATAAACAGAATGTTGAAACGTAGCCCCTCCCCCACCCCTCCCGAAAAAATTAAAAATGTGAAAGTTGTATCAAGAAATTATAAGTTATTTTATTTCAACACAAAACAAAAACTTTCTTTAAACTAGAAATAGTTTTGGAAATATACTTTAAATAATAGTTTTATGTAAAAGTATTTAGTGAACAAATACAATTTCCATGGTCATCTTAAAATGCTAAAAGTTTTGTTATGTTCAGTTAGTGTTTAATAAAATTACTTGTTTAATGCATGTCATAACAAATATGAATTCACTGGAAACTATTTTAATGCAACCATTTCATGTTACTTTGTAAGTAATAATGACTATAAACACATTTAAAGTAAGAAATTAATTGAAAATTTTAAAAAATGTCTCACCTACTGCACCGCGACATTTAAATTACGCTAACGATTTTCTCGAGTTCTAATTTCTTTTTCATTTTTGTAATAATTGTTTCCCATCAGTCCCATCATCGGGCCCCTTTACTTGCAGGGCTCCGGGCAGTCTGCCCATGCCTAGCTCTAGCACCGTTAGTTGAATTTCTTTGAGGGCACCCAAAATATTTGCACTTCATTCTATTCAATTTATGATATCTGATCGTGATTTCCTTGATTTAATCTTCATGTAACAAAGAGCCTACTATACACATCATCTCTTGGAAAGTAGTCTAATATTTTGCCATGTGCTCATTGAAACACTGAAAGCCAACTATAGTCAATGGTGTTTAGCAGTCGAGATTATTAAGTACTCCACAGAGATTAGATAAAATAATACTTTTAAATTTTTAGAGTATTAGACACTTTTTATTTTTTTTAGAGTATCAGTACTATGTTGCCCGTAAGTTGATAAAATATTTTCGTCCAATTTCAGGATTCTGAAGTTTATCGACCCACTTTGAAAATTTTCACATTCTTCCACATAGATGTGTACATAAAATTAACACATTGTATCATATTAATGTTTGTGGTGTCATCAAAGTACGTGAGATAAATTATTGGCGTGTATGTGTGGGCACGAACTTTACCACGTAAGCAGATGCCTACATTCATTGATAAAGAGATCTCCATGTTTTTTATCATTTTTACTCTACGTTATGCATGATTATAACTTGTAAAGTACAAGTTGTGTCATATTTCCTGAACAACTAGCGAGTAATACAAGATTTGTTTCAACGCTATGGGTTTCTCAATAATTCTATGCGGAATCAAAACGCACTCAAGCACCGCATTTCTCGGTCTTCGCGCGCGCGCCTAGGCACGTTAATGGAACATGTTTACCAATCGTATCACGATGCATTCAGTTGACCTTGCATTATTTCCCCCTGAGCTGTGCGGCTATGAACATTGGAATTAAGATAAAAATAAATTATGTATGACACACATCTATTCATAATTTTTTTCCTGACCTATTTCATGTCCGAAAATGTAGGTTCAAAACATCTCCTTGCACCAAATCAATCAAGAAAGGAAAATTAATTAAAATTCGTAAATACACGAAGGCGCACGTGAGTACATGTGAATATTCGAGAAACAAAATAGGTAGTCATACATAATGCTTAAATGTAATGAACTTATACAAGCGTCTTAAGTTACACAGTGTGCTATTTATCAAGAATGATCTGAAACAATAAAAAAAATGTCTAATTTTGCAAATTTGTGGACTGTGTAGTTTTCGTGCGGGAAATTTTGTTCTTCAGGGCCTGGTAAGCATGGAGTTCTGTTCATTCATGGCTACGTCAACATGGCGGATCAACTTGAAAGTAAGATAATTGAAATGTGTTATTATAATTACAAACCTGCAGTCAACGCTGAAATATGGTGATGTACCCGTGCTATATTACAATTACTTAGTATTATTTTTTCCTTGATAGTTTGCATTTGTGTTCTCCTTGAGTTGTGTGTGTTTCCGTGATTGTTTTAGTGCGCGTCTTGCGAAATTTTGAATTTTTGAATATAATGTTATGTTGTATTTGCATTATTTGAGTATAAAAGGTTACAGTAATAAGTAGTTAGTTTATATAAATCTTCTATGAATGTGAGGGAGTGTATTATGTATTTTTAAATCTCCTGGTTTATGTATTTTTTCATTTATAGTTATCATTCATGAGATAAAGTCAATGTTGCATTTTGCTAACAAATGTATGCCTGCCTCTCGTTTTTATATACTTCATTGTTTTCTAGGACATTTGTTTGTCCGTCTGAATTTCTTGTACGTATAATAATAGTATTTATGATAAGTATTTTTAGGTTGAGTCAAGGGTATGTAGAGATAAGAGTATTTTCTTCTTATATTCTTCTAATTTGATATTTATATGTCACTTTTTCGAAGGAAAGTTCATCTAGATTTGTAAAATTGGTTTGAGTTGAAATTTCCTTCAACATTCCAAAAGCATGGAAAGAATGTTAGAACCTAACCTGTGAAGTTGAACATTCTGTAGTTATGTATGAAAATGATTGGTCCAGATGAAAGTACTATTCAAAATGACTGTAACATCTAGAAGCAGTTTCTAGAGGATTTAACATGTTAATTAGTGTAATTAGTTGTACTTCTGTTATGTTTATGTTGATGTTTTGGAGAAGTGACCTAAAGTTCCAATTCTTTGTATTCAAGGCAAATTAACTTACACAAATGTGTAATAAATCATTATATCATACAAAATGTGTTGCAAATACTTTCTTCAATCCCATCCTATGTTACATAAATTAATCCATAGAATTAAATGGTATTTCAATGAGTGTTTCTGTCAATTGTTTTAACTTGCATTATGTTTATTTGATAACTTTCTTTTTAAAGTTAGATAAAAACCTCTTGTTTAATTTTTTAAATTTCTTTAAAATATGTGTTGTTAAACAAACTTGAGAAATTTTGTTCAGTAATAGAATTTGTTATTAGAACTATTGCATATATTGAAAGCAATTCGACTTGGCATGTATACAAAAATGTTAACATCTGTGTGTTATATGTTATACGAATCATGTTTAGTCAGTGCTTATTTCATTTGCACTGGTTTACTTCTTTAAACAAACTTCCTTTTAACATACTGAATCAAAAAACAAATTTTACCTGTAACTGTTTTGCTGTGCTTATTACAGGAATTGCATTGAATTTTGCACACACACAAATTCTTTCCCCTCCCTTTTTGTTTCTATACTGTTGTCCTGGTAGTGAAATAATTAGTGGCTTTTACCAGTACGAATTACTAAATTTTCCATGTTTTATTTAATACATGTCCTGCTTTATTGTGAAATCCTAAATATTTGTCATTGTGACAAGACTTTAATGAAGAGGTATTCTGAAGGTCAATTTACTCCATAAAATTTGTGATGCTTTTAAAAAAATATAATTCTGTTTGTAAGTTGGAATGGTTTTGCATGATCAAGTTAACTGGGAGTTTGAGACTTATTTTGATGTATTCATGTGTGTATATTTCTTTTGTAGGCGAGTCAGCTGCAGCTTTGTTGAGTTTTAAAAATGGTAGTTTTGGCTGTAAAAGTGAGTTGGATTGTAACACAATGGAGGTCGATATGGATGAAGCGCCCATTCTTGGACCTGCTGCATTGGGACTGCAAAGGGTTGGGGAAGAAATGCCACCTCGACAGCCGACAACTCAACCTGGACTGGTCCTTAATCGTCGGGGAATGGTATGGTTCAATTTTCTTATAATTTCAAGCTTGTATAATTTATGAAATAAGATTTCTTGCAATTGTAAGTTGTTTTCAACTTGTGTGTAAGAAAGGGAGTGAAAAATTATTACTATTTGTATTCATGTTATTGTTCTATAGATAGATCAGTAAAATCATTAAACCTGGGAACATCTTCATTCTAAGAACTTACATGAAATTATTTAATGTGGATGTGCTTTGTGTTACTTTATTTTGAGATTTTAATGTACGTTAAACCAAATGCCAGAATTATGGAACATGCTACAAAATGGTAATTGTGATTGGAGGAAACTATGCCAAATCCTTATTCGAAAGGCTAATTTTTGGATAGCAGATTGTATTATCCAAAAATAGGATCTTCCCTTTGCTCATGTTAGCAGTAAAGAAAGTAACCCTTCTTCCAATAATGTAGTGGTTTCGTGGACCACTTGTTGCTTCATGACAACAAAGGGGGGTTTATTATTGTTTAGGTTTTTAAATCATAAAATTTATTTTGTCCTTTAATTGGATTTATTGCATGGACATTGTATAATCAAAAACAATAAAAGCACTGGTTCACAGACTTCCTGATCACGTATTTCTTGATCCTCTACGAGATTTCCACAAATTTAAAACAATCCCAGGCTCTCTGGATACCCAGGCACACTTTTCTCCTCTAAGGATAGGTGATTAGAAGGAAGAAGTTTGGAAGAAAGTGTAATTTTAGCATCATTACAGATAATTAGTTTGTAACTTTAAATTCAATTCACTCAATAAGTTTTTGATATTTTCAAGACATCCCTTGCTTTCCTTATTAATTGATTTCTACAGAATGTTGTCTTTTCTTGAAAAAGTGTAGCCAACTTACAGATGCATTGAACTGATTAGTTCCTACAGTGTTTGCAACTACCAGTGGCATTTTAGCAAGAGCCTCTAAATTTGAATAGTTTGGGATCTAGTGGTGATGAAACGCTCCAACACTAGTTTGTTGATTTCAGTACCTCTTAACGTTCTCGCCATTTCCCCACATCCACTGATTCAAAATTTTGTCTTTGTTTTTTAGTGTTTTTAAAATTTAATTTTTGGTGCAATTACATCGATTCATGATTTTGTGCACCGAGAGATTTTGTTTTCCTTTTGCTTTTATCACTTTACTACAAAATAATAAGTTAATGTCTTATTTGACAATTTGTGTTTAACACTAACAATACAGAGAAACGTAATTGCCAAAGAATATTAAGTCAGATGAAAATGAAAATGTACCATGGGAAGTAATTTATGAAAGACTGATTATTTTAGAGGATTTACTTGTTACACACGAGGAAAATTTTATACCTTCCATTGAGGAAAGTGCACTGGAATTGGGATTCAATTGAGCTACAGAATGTGAAGGGTCTGGATCTCTCAATTCTTCAGTGAAGCTATGACCCAGCTTGGCAGTAGGATTGGTTCCTTAGTTTGTCTCAAGTGTAAAATGGCTATTAATAGTCAGAAACTGCTTATGTTGGACCTACTGGTGACTACAAGAACACATCAACAAAATTGAAGACTGCAAATGTGATTTCTTCTAATTTCACCTTAAACTAGTTCAGTTTTGGTATACCTTCTTTTGTTTTCACATTGGATAGATTTCTGTCTTGTACAGGGTTTGCTTTCTACTTGTTCCACTGTATTTGTGAGTGTGATCTAATGCTATATTTATTTTTTTGTAAACAGCTTTTACTGTATTTCAGCCTGCACGTATTCGAAAGAAGAATAGACTCTTTTTTGATGATGATGTGGTCAACACATTACTGCCGCGGTCCACAAAACGTGGTGTGCGAGGATCTCCGAATAAAAAGAATGCAACCACACCAAGCAAGGTGATACAAACTCCAATTAAAAAACAGCATGTTCCACAACCGACATTTAATCAAGAGCCTCCTGCTCCTGCCACCCCGGAGCAACATGAGGCAGCTGGTCCACCAACATCTTCTCCAGATCGCCGTGTAGGCCAGAGGATAGGCATGAGACTAAGAAACTTATTGAAACTTCCCAAAGCTCATAAATGGGTGTGCTATGAGTGGTTTTACAGTAACATAGATTTGTGAGTTGTATTTTGCTATGTGAATGTTATTTAATGGTATCTTGTTTGAGTCTTGTACCCAAATAAAATTTTATTTTCTAGGCCATTGTTTGATGGAGACAATGATTTTATGTTGTGTCTCAAAGAAGCGTTGCCTCAGTTGCGCACACGAAAACTTACGAGAGCAGAATGGGCAAACATACGGCATATGATGGGAAAACCTCGGCGGTGTTCACAGGTAAAATTTTATGAAACCAATGAGGCATACCTAATGGTGTGATTCCTGTATTTTTCCCAAATTGTGGGCAAGAGTTTTGTGGAAAATGTGAAGCCATTTTCACCATTAGGGGATATTGTTGTTATCTTTTGGAAAGCAGTTATTTATTGATTAACAAGCTGAATTCCCCAGGTAGCTATTTCGAATTTTCAGGAATGTAGAATCTCATGCTCTTACCACGATTTGAATAACTGTAACTAAATAATTACTCTCTTTCTAAATTATTGGCCATCTTTTGATCCAGGATGTTGGGATTCACCTAAATTTTCAAATAGTTGAATAGGGGTAGGGGGAGATGAATAATTTGATAGTGGTGATGGTCATGATAAAACTGATGTTGGATTTTTTTTTTTTTTTTTCATTGAAAATGCAATCTAAAGCATTTGTCTATTTTCTTCAGCTGTTTCCTCAAAATATTTGTCTTTGTTGTAATACCTTTCACCATAATATCAGAAGAGATGTTAATACTTACAAAAATATTTTCTTTGTTGAGATGCTCTTTTAAATAAGTTGTTGGAATGAACATTTCAGATATTCTGTAAAGAAAAAAAATATTCTTAAAAACATAATTTTTATCAACCAATAATGCAATTGTTACATTATTGCGTACAGGAATTATGACCATAAACAATATTACATTAATTGCAGATATATTTATGATTTTTGTTGAACATTCATGATCATGATGTGATCTATTTGGTATATTGAGCATAAAATATTTTTGACAGAGTATGCTTCAATACTTAAAGTAGTGCATCCTGACACTATTTCCTTGCCAGGATTTTCAATGGATGAGTTATTGTTATTCTTTACATACCCAGTTAATAATGTGTCAAATGGTCTTTTAAAAGTTGGTATTTTGCATGGTAATATGTGTGAAAAGTACAATGCAATAGAGAATCTCTTTTCACTAGGCGTTCTTTGAAGAGGAAAGAAGGGAATTGGAAAGAAAACGAACGAAAATTCGTTTGTTGCAACAACGTAAAACTGCTGATGTGACAAATTGCAAAGACCTTCCTGAGGAAATTCCTTTACAATTGGTGATTGGCACCAAAGTTACAGCAAGATTGCGAAGGCCACAGGATGGACTATTTACTGGCAGTATAGATGCAGTAGACACATCAAACAATACTTATAGAATTACATTTGAAAGACAGGGTTTAGGAACACATTCAGTCCCTGATTATGAAGTGTTGGTGAGTATGGTTTCTGAGACAATATATAATATGTTCAGGAATAGAATTAGAAATTAGTTAACATTGAATATGTTAATACTATAGAAATTCTAAAAACATCACATTCTTGTCACTTAACTTAATTTGTATTTTGGAGCTAGTTGCAGAAGGCAAATTTTCAATATGAAATACTGTGTATATACATGATGTCCTTACACCTTTTTATTTGTGAGGATACATATCTACTGGTTTCCTTCTCTGCAGCAGGATGCAGTGTGGACATGCAGGGATGCTGCATCACTCCTATCTCACTTCTGTTACCACGATGCTGCATATAAACACTTTCTTGTTTCCACCATCAAAATGCCACAGCATCCAATACATACATTAAAGGGCTAATGAGCACAAAGCACAAGTGACAACTCTTATTTCACTGATAAGTGTCAGGTTTTAACTATTCTCTAGAATGTGGGATATGAAAATTTTGCTGAACTCCTGTGAAGTATTTGTGATGTTAATTAGTAGAGGGCAGAAAATGAAGTGAAAACGTTTTACTCTGTACACATCTTCAGCATTGAGGCAGCCATGATGCAATAATTTCACTTTTAGAGTTAGGCAGGTTTAACATAGTGGCCATTTTCCGGAAACCATGGGAAATTGTGAAAAATAAGGGAATTTCATTGCTCTGGAAATGTTGGGTGAACTATCAGGGAATTTGTTAAAGAATTGTTTGAAGTCAGGGAAAATTTTGATTGGTTGTAAAACTAGAAATTATTCCTTTAAAAAAATAGTACAGCGTTTCTTTTTGCTCCATTTCTATCAGTTTCCTAAAATTTTTTACTTTAATGGCAAAATCAGAGCCTATAAATTAAGTTTCAGGCTTTCTTTATTATTTTCTTGAAATACTGGTTTTGTGAAATACTCCAAAGCTCTGGAAATTCTGGGAAAATCACGAAAATTTGCTTCAGAAAATTAATGGCTATTCTGTTTTAGGCATTCTTCAACCATTGTCATTCTACAAATTGTCTTATTTGTTTTTTATCACAATATTGATTTAGAATTCTCAACATTGGTGTTCAGTGCTCTTATCTTCAAAGATGTCATGTTGATAGTTCCCTGCTGCCAATCTTCAACAAAATTTCTTTTGTGTATCCTGCACATGTTACATTCTTAATACTTCTTGATTTTTCAAACTTCAGCATTATTTATAACTTTAGTTTTTTAAGACCTTTGTTGATGTAGATCTTATGTTGAGAGATCAAAAGTAGTCCTAAATTAATTTTTGTAGTTGTAGAGTTGTGTATTTGTAGATCCCTGATCATTTTTCCTAAGATGTTTTATTTTTGTCTTTACCTTCTTTTCAGTTTTAAAATTTTGATATTTTCTTTTGTAGATACCTCTTCTTATTATTCAATTTTCTTATTCTTCTCTTCTACCTTTTATGATGAAGAAAATTTGTATGGAAATTTACGCAAATATTAGTAAGAAGTGAAATAAATAAACAACTCACAATATACAATTCAATCTGTACACTGCACACCTACAAGTAATTGTAGTTGGTCAAATGATACTTCTCATTTTACAAATAGTTATTTAAATCTTCATATACATTAAATTAAGGAGCAACAATTTTAAAACAATGGGATTTAAAATTTCTGCACAACTAATTTTCCAATGAGTCCACCAAGTAAATCACTTATTCCAAGATTAAAATACTCTTTTTCATTATTTAAAGGTCAAACTATACCCATAAGGCTTTTGTTTATTTGCTCTCAGCTTTTTCCTTTCTTTTAAATTAATAAAACATGTTTAACTGTTGTTTAATTGTTTTTCAGTCTAATGAACCTCCTGAAACAATTACTGTGTCAAGTTTTGCACAGAAGTTCCGTCCACGCAATTTGTCTTCTTTCATGACTCCACCTAGATTACTACCTGCGCATACTCCACGTCTTTCGGATCCAATGGTGGGTAGTGGAGTTGTTGGCAAGTCAAAGAGCATTCCCTCTGATGGAATGTTAGGTGGATTCCCTGTGAAATGTTTGGATATGGTTGTGAGTAAAGTGACATTAAAATCTATTGTAATGTATCTTTCATGCAGTGTAAGTGAAACTTTTTTCTTTTGTTTAATTAGGTTCGCCTATCTAAAATTCTTAATGCTAAGAAAAACAAAATAAAGATTCTTAGAGATATGAATGCTGAGGCAGAAAAAAAGAAGTCTTTTGGAGGTCTTATTGCTGAAGACTTTCAGCGTAGATATGCGAATACTGTGGTGGAATTGGAGCGGTTGAATCGTGACCTGCAAGGTTATTTGACATCAGTTCAAAAGTACTGCCAAGAGGTAATAAGTTCATGCGAAGAAGTAATTTTCGAGGTTGATTTGTACCAAATCAATCTCACTGCTAATTGTGATCTAAAAGTTTGTAGCAGTCTTATTTGTTCTTTCAAATAATTTGAGATAATTTTTAATGCTCTGCCTCTTATCCCAAACATCTAACAAGTGGTGCCACAACAGAACATACGTTCTTGAATAATAAGGGTTGCATAATATTATATTATCCTACTACTATCCTTCCTGTTTATCCTTCAACCATTTCTTGAAATCACCTATCCAAATAAAGCATGAGAGGTTTAAAAAATCTTCAATTTTTCAGCAATTAAAAAATTTAAAAAACAAGATAATATATTTATGTAGCCTGGGGGTTGAAACAATGCTAGGGATCAGAGATCTCTGACTCGGAAACACTCAATTTTAAATCATATAATGAATTCTTAATGTTGTGATAATTCCGACTCTTTGCAACTCAAAATTATGCAAAAGCTACCAATATTTTGAAAAAAGATTAACAAAAGAATTTAAATACCTAATATTAAGGGATATATACAGTGAAATGTTTTTAACGTACCATGAATTCTGAAGACTATTGAGGAAAACTCTAAAAAAAGGAAGACTTCCAATTGATAGCTCATGGTAAAATTTTACTGAGCATATATTGCAGATAAACACAATAAATGTTACATATTAATTCATAATTCAGCTGCAAAAAATACAGTAAAACCCTTCCTTTACACTTTGCATGGAACCCTAAGGAAATGGTGTAAATTGTGGGAAGTGTAAATAAGGGGAAATTATTTTTTCTTTAAAACCGTGAATACAGTATAACACATTTTGATGTGTATAATCAAGGAGGATTATAATATGCTTTACAATGCAGTATTAGATATGTTGTAAGCAATATTATAAGGTCAAATAGAAATCTGACCAAAATTTACATCTGTCATCGAAGGCAATTTAATCGGAGCATAGTGAATTTTAAATGTCTCAACGACACTTCCAGAAATTCCCGCCATTCACTGATGCAACTAGCCTTTGATGACACAACAATGTACTCATTATTGGATGAAGGGAGGGAAATTATATTTCTAATGTAAGTAAAAAAAAAAAGCGAAGTTTACATTTTCTCCAAATCATTAAAATGTTTTCACCAGTTCGTAATGATTTCCAACTAGTAATTTTTTAAATTTATTTATGAAGTGAATTTACAGTTAAAAATGTAACGAAAATTCCATACTTTGATGCTTGATCTATTAAAGGATGGAGAAAATTATGTTTATTTTAGAATGAGAAAGTGTGAAATTATGAAGGAGGATGATGTAAAATATACAAATGACCGTGAGGCTATGTTTCCTAGTCCTGTGTCACACGAGGTTTATGATAATGCGCGTCACTCAATGCTGATAATGTCAGTTGCGTCAATGCCTGTGCACACGTCACATAACCCGTGGTGTAGATTAATACTATCTTATGTGAAAGGGAACACAACCCCTGTTGGCGTTGTGCTCATAGCTCAAGCAAGACACTCAAGCTACAACGGAAGTCACGATAAAGTGTGTTTTCTAGCTTTCAAAGCACGACGCTCACTAGGCAATGAAAGTTGGCAACAATGCACCTCAACGCTATGCTTGTGTGGAACAGACCTTATATTCTTCTACCAATGTACATTTGTCATTTTTTCTGCCTTTTTAAATACCTCTGTAATATCATGAAATGAAAATTTGTATGAGCCTAGCTATTCAATAATTTTCATTGTATTTAAATCTTCTGGTCGTCATGTAACTTTTCATAAGGCTTAATAATATCGCACCATTTCAATTGTATTTCTGCTATAACAATGTTTAACACAGCAAGGTAGTGGGTGAGTGCAGCAACAGTGTCTGTTGTGCACAATGCGAAGTGCTTTCCAGATGATCTTGTGGCTAGCAGACTGTTGTAAATTGCGGGAAAATTGAAATTATACTGTCGTAAATGCAGGCTATTAATAACATTATGAACATAACGAAAGCTGATGGGACCAACAAGAAATGTTGTAAATGCCAGGAAAACGTAAATGGGGGGAATGTAAAAGTAGGGTTTTACTATACTTAAATAATTAAATCGTAAAATACTAGTCAAATTATCATAAATATCTATGAATTGGAACTGAAAAAATGATATTTTTTAAAATTTAAATCCATTTTTTTGAGTTACAGAAAGAAATTTTAAATTGTATTATTATCTTTAAACCAAAATTAAGTGATTTATTTATCCAAAATTACTTTAAAAGCAGAGAGAAGTTTATTAAAACCTCAGTTTTTAAATCTATTATTAAATTGTAATTTTATTTTAAAAAATGTAGATACTATATATTTCAGGGATTTGGTGCAATACTGCCCTAGCCCACAAAATTTTACATTTGATTTATTTATAGTTTTGTGCTCTCGAAACACTTAATCTTGCATCCACATTACTGAATAAGATTGTAGCACCAATTACTAGCATGATTTACAAAGAAGACATTCTTTGTTCAAAGAAATGTTTCCATTTTTTCGTGCAATACTGCACTTATTGTTGAAAACAACTGAATTCATTGAAAAACTTAAAATGTTATAGTTTATGAAAAATTAAATTCTACTTGATAGTTGTCCTGTTATAAAAAATACAGGGCGTAATGTTTTTTACTTGCGCACATTCCCATTTACCCTTTGTTGGACAGTGGGTAGTATGCTTCCCTCTTAAAATAGAATTTTATCCATATACACCCAAAGAAAAAGGTTAATATTATTAAAAGTAGTAAGATTAACTACTGTTTTTATTAGTTAATTAATCAATCAACCATATTAATTTTAAATGAGTTATTAATAAAATACCATTTTTATTAATACTTATCATCTTTATGTGGCTTTAACAAACAATTCAATAAAAGTCTAGAATTGTGGACACCGTTCAAGCATTAATCGTGCATTGTTGCTAATTTAGTTTTCATCTTCAGAGATTAAATACTGGATAAAAACTAATCAATCATCTAAGTCTGTTAGTATATAACCCTACTACAAATTATTTTTGTTCTTCGTTTCATAAGTTTGTTCATTTTACTGTATATTAGTTGTATTTTATTTTGTGAAAATAATTCAATAATGTGAAAAATTTATTAGAAATATAATATATCAACATCAACTTTGTAATGGGTTTAAGTCTTTATATCCAAGTAATGTTTACTTTATGAATATTTAAAATACAAATATATTTTCAAGTATTACAAATAATAAATATTGATTTAAATCATTGTTTTAAAAGAAATCATTTGATTTAAATCACATGATTTCAATCATACCAGCCTTACTATGAATTGACATAACATCAAAAAAATCCTATCTATGTGATATTGAAGGCAATGATGCTGCAAACATGCTTGCCTCCTATTTCTTCTAAATTGTGTTGTCAGAACCATTTCTTGCTCCAAATGAGAGAGTTGCGCTATTGTTGTGTACTCAAGTTTATGGGCAATCATAAACCTAAATATTTCAATTCCTTCAGCTGCCTTAGTATTTGAGGGCACATGTTCCTCTTGCTTCTCTCAGCTGTCAATTCCTCAACACTGCACTCCTGTGATTGCCACATAATTCTCTATAGCCACAAAGTCATCAAAGTGACAGAGTTATTGCTCCTAAGCCCTGTGCCACTAGCATTGCATTGGCACACTTCAACTAATGCTGATGTCATTTGCTCAGCCCCTGCTAGGCAATGTGTCTCCAAGAACACTCTTTTGCCTTTTTGCATTAGATACAGTGTTAACCTACAACACGTTTTAAGTGACTTGTGTGCGCAGGTGTCAATGCAGCTGAAATCATCATTAGCTGATGTGCATCAATGCAACGCTCGTGTGACACAGGCCTAATTCATGCACTCCTACAATTCACTTCCAACTTCTTCCATTTGAACAACTATCTTGATGTCCTGGAATCCTGCTTTCTTGAAACTGTTTTTGATAGTTTCAGCACTCCCTCCATGAATACTTATTAAATTCTCAGCTTGTAAAATATTTTGCTTCAACTGAGAATTATACTGGCTTTTTTTATCTGTGTGATTCAAGGTGTTTCTGACCAAGCCTAGAGATTGCTGAAAGTTAGTTCCTTTTCAGTATATAATAAATGGTGGTAGCTCCCTGCCATCCACCCAGCATGAAAACCACTCTTACAATTCTCAGAAATGACAGATCTGGGGCATGTGCTGCATATCTATCTACAAAACAACAGCACTCCTTGTTTTGATATTAAATTCCTTAAGAAAATTTAAAAATACTTCACTAAACGTCCATGCTTTAGTATTGTTTGTATACTTTCACAGTAGGGTTGTGTTTTAAAGTGCCTTCGTTTTTTAGACTTTTTGATGACCAAGATTTTTAGTTTCTCCCTGCGTTTGGTATTCATGCACAATAAGACAGTAACTCCTTGCTTTTCTTACTGCCATGGCAATTTTTACCATGAAAAGTAAGTCTTGTCCAGCATTAAATTAGAGAATATGCCAGTTTTAACAGTGTTAAAAATGTTACATGACACACAGTTGGTTGTGAGATTAAAGTGCATCCATTGGGCGACTGTGTGTTGCTCTACCCTTTCACTCTCACCACCTTGTACACAACACCATGCTGTTGTCAAAATTTCAATCAATCCAACCACCCATTGGAAGTCTTGAAATTTTCAACCCCTAACCGCAAAGCTATTTGTAGAGCCTTTTCCTTCAAAATGGTTCCGTTTCTGAGGATATTTGCGGTACATGCACACATATACTTCAAATTTTCACATTTCTCAGCTAATTCCATAATGATTTTTCATTTTAGTATTGAGGATCAAGGGGCCAGTTTCAAGTGCTTAGCCAGCTCTACCCGACTTATACAAGGATTGGCATTTTTCTTGAAATAGACTCTGAAACCATTGTCATGCATTTAATCATGCCTATTAACAGACCACCCCCCTTCCCTGACCACTGCCTTAACAGCAATGTTTTTAATTTATCCCTTTTAT